GAAGAGGGAGAGGAGTGGGGGGGGAGAGTAAATAATGGTAGGCCAGCTCATTGGTGGGAAAGAAAGATGGAAGCAGGAAAGGGAGGTACTGTGGAGGGATTTCAGGACAAAAGAAATAGTGGAGGGGAAATGAGATGCCCCCCACAAATCCTTGTGGGTCCCCCACTTGGGTATGTGTGTTTGTGTATATATGATAGGGTGTGTGTGTGTGTGTGTGTGTGTGTGTGTGTGTGTGTGTGTGTGAGAGAGAGAGAGAGAGAGAGAGAGAGAGAGAGAGAGAGAGAGAGAGAGATCCTCTCCAAGTAACTTGTATTGTCTATATATTCACTGACCTCAAAAAGTGTGGAAAAAGTAGAACATAGTTAATGGCTAAGGGGAAAGAAGATAATGTGACAGAGAGCAAGGGAAGTACATGATGGGAAGAGCTGGAGAGGAGAGCAAGTGCACAACAGGGGAGGTGGGGGGAAAGGGAGGGCTGCCTAGGAAGATTAGGAGGCAGAGCAAGAGGGCAGTAGCTAGTTCCCCTTCCCCGTTAGTCCTCTGGGGGTGTCCCACTTGTATATTTATAATGGTCTTATGTTTCCTGTATATTTTGAGGATAGGAGGATAGGAAGTGGAATCAGCATTTATAAAGTTAATAGACTGAATATAAATGTTTCCCTTCCCCATTCAACCGATCAATGCAGTCTTTCCCCCCTTCCCCCAGACCTTCAGTGTGCAACAACTAGACCTCTCAGAAAAGCCTGGTGAAAGAGCTGCATGAAATTCCCCTGAGAATATTGAGTCATCTTATCTAAACTCTTTTGGCTTCCCTTGAAATTGCTCAGATGTCTCGTCAGAAGAGGAACCTCCAAATTCACTTCAGGCAAAATTTCCCTGGCCACTCTAATTGAAAGATGGTTATGGGCCGGCGTAGTTGAGCTCCTGTCTGGTCCAGATTCCTTCCTGTGCCCTTAATCACATTCCAAAAGTACCAGTGCATTTTGCTGATTAGAGTACAATAAATTTAATAATCCTTGAACAGTAAGTGCTCATGTTGCAGTTTCACAGCTCATGAAATGTGTCAGTTTAAGATATAAAGCAAATACCACTCCTTTTCTTCCTTCCTTCCTTCCTTCCCTGCTCTCTCTCTCTCTCTCTCTCTCTCTCTTTGCAAAGCTCTGTGACTTCGCATTAGCCTTATCTCTCATTACCCTGGATACAATGTGATATTCACTAGGAAACAATGCAGAACACGATTTCATTAAGAGTTAACAAGCGCTATTTTTGTCAAAAGTCTCTCTGCCCCTTTCAGTTTTGCATTGGAGATGAGTATAATACAAACCTTGCTTATCACTTATAAACAGCATGTCAGCAGGTATGGTACTGCATGTCGTCCTTCATCAAATAGCTGCAGACAGTAAAACCGTCTTCAATATATCACTTTTGGATTGAGAGGTCTAGAACATGGGGTATGTGGTGTTATATAATCATTGGACCAGGACCAGGGAGAAGCCGGTTCAAATCCTCAGTCACTCATGAAGTTCACTGGGGTTGCACACATGCATCATTGGATAGCATGCTATCGTTGCATTAGTCAATAATCCCCAGCTGGATTTTCCTGTGTGGACTAGAAAATGCAGGTTTTGAGTGAATATTATAGTGCAACAATACTACAATACCCAGTGGTGTGTGGATGCAGACAGAATGACGAGGCCATTCATCCTCTCTCATCCTAGCCTACCTCACAGATGGTAGTAAAAAACAAAACAGAGTGATGGGACAGGTACTCTGGGCTCTTTGGAGGAAGGGTGGGATAAAAATGTCATAGAAAATTTGCCACATATGTGCAGATGGAAAGTACCCCACCCCGAGATAATGTAAACTGTATGCAAAGAAACCAGAGAGAAATGATCCAGTTACTCTCCTGCCCATGACAATGCATGCATATAGATCTGGCCACACAGCAGGGGAGGACCAGGGCAGAGGAGAGGACAAAGAAGGTGGGTCATCCACTAAGCTGCCCTGAGCACTTTGGAGAAAGGACAGGATAAACATGTAGGGCTGCATTTAGCAGTCCACTCAGCTAAGTATGGAACCTTCCTTCGGCAGAGGAAGAGTCTCTTGCCCCAGAGGAAAGTTCCTTCTGCCAGAGAAAAGTTACATACTCACCTGAGCCGAATCTTAGAATACAAACCATGATATGGCAGACTGTGCGCTTCACTCCCTAGTTTCATTGCAGTAAATGGGACTTTCTTGGGTTCAAAACAATTCCACTCTGAAATTGGTATATTTAAATAAAGACTTGCAGATGGGCAATGGAAGTGAAGCAATGTGGCTAACATTTCCACTTGTGGTTCATTCTGTGACTTAAGAGCAGCTTAACACAGAGATGGCCCAAAATAATGGTTGGTTGGTTGACAGGTTGGTTGGCTGGTATGTTGGTTGTGCAGCCTAATGACTAAGAAAATGAACCATGGAGTGCTTGAGTCAAGCAAGTTTTCTCTTTGCATGGATCTCACCAGTGGCCTTGGACAAGCCACTCAGTTTTACACACCCACAATTAAACAATAGGAATACTTTCAGGATTGATATGAAGATTACTAGACAATACGTTCTTGAGAAGTTCTCAGACTTGAAAACTCATCATTTTGATTTTCATTCTGGGTTATACAAGTCAAACCAAAGAGACTTAATGTTTGTACTGTTCCCACAAAGTAACACATTTTTTTCAGTGATATTTTTTGTGTCAGTTGCATATGAATGGCATATAGTGTATTAATGGCATGGAAATATGAAAAAGTGACAAATTAGGAACAAAATGAATGAAACAAAAAGGCTCAGAATGAACATGCAAAAATGAAACCAAATAAAAATAGAGAAGATGATGAGGTGGCTAAGTACATGGTGAATATAGTCACGTGGCAATATAGTTGTTTGTGTGTGTTAAAGTACCAGAGTGAGGAAATCGTAATGAAACTTTCCATATAAATATTCAAAGGGGGAGATCACTGTAAATTGGTGGAGAATTTCTGCACTTATGCTTAGAGAGCCAGCGTGGTACAGTGGTTAAGAGCGGTGGACTCTAATCTGGAAGAACCGGGTTTGATTCCCCACTCCTCCACATGAAGACTGTTGGGTGACTTTGGGTCAGTCACAGTTCTCTCAGAGCTCTCTCAGCCCCACCTACCTCACAGGGTATTTGTTGTGGAGAGAGAAGGGAAGGAGATTGTAAGCCACTTTGAGACTCCAAGTGAAAGGTAGGGTATAAATTCAACTCTTCTTCTTGTGAGAAATAGAAATTAATTACATAATTGGCATTTATAGAGCACATTTTAGTTTTCAAAAGGAGTTATATACAGCCTTTGAGAAATGGTGTAGAGCAGTGGCTAAGAGAATGAGCTGTGATTTCATAGGTCCGTGATCCAAATCTCACTTCTCTCAAGAACTCACTAGATAGCCTTAGGCAAACTAGCTTTTCTGAGCCTCAACATCCCTCCCCCTAAAATCTGTAAGACTGGGATAATAATACAAACCTACCTTATAAGGCTGTTGTCAGATTTTCAATATAAGGTATGTGAATCACTCTGAACACTGAAAGTGGTATATGAATGGAAATATAAAATCCTTACAGTGGCCCTTAGAGTAAGCCAGGCACAAGCTGAACCCATCTAATTTGTGGCTTTATTGCAATTTAAACATGAAACATTAAACAGGGAGCCAGATTGGTGTAGTGGTTAAGTGCATGGACTCTAATCTGGGATAACCGGGTTTGATTCCTTGCTGGATGACCTTGGGCAAGCCGTGGTTCTGATAAGAGCTGTTATTGAAAAAGAGCAGTTTCTGTCAAGAGCTCTCTCAGCCCCACCTACCTCACAGGGTGTCTGTTGTGG